TATCTATGTATCTATCTATCTATCTATCTATCTATCTATCTATCTATCTATCTATCTATCTATCTATCTATCTATCATCTATCTATCTATCTATCTATCTATATCCCTCTCTTCTATCTAATATATCCCTCTCTTCTTTCTTTCTTTCTTTCTTTCTTTCTTTCTTTCTTTCTTTTTCTTTCTTTCTATCTATGTATCTATCTATGTATCTATGTATCTATCTATGTATCTATCTATCTATCTATCTATCTATCTATCTATCTATCTATCTATCTATCTAATATATCCCTCTCTCCTCGCACGATAGGGGCCACAATCCTCATCCTGATATTGTTTTGAGGTCTTGCACTATAACTCCCATCATGCTGGGATGAGGGAGATGGGAGTTGCAGTCTGTTGCATCTGCAGGGCAGGGGAGTGGAGGACTGATTTCAGCTACTTTCGAACTCCAAAAGGAAGAGCATAGATCGGAAGAAAAACAACGGAGGAAGAAAAATAAATCCTGTGGAAAAGCCACAACAAGGCAAACAACAGCCAAAGGCACCCCAGCACCCCAAAAGCTGAATTCTGCACCCCCAACTAGCATCCGTTAACACTCGGGGAGGGGGAGAGAAATATGTTCCCAATCGGTTTTGCAAATCTAATGGAGACACAAACACCCCAAAACCACTGTCCTTAAGTGGGGTGCCCTCTGGATGCTTCACGCTGCATTCCCCCATCGCCCCTGGCCCTCACAGAGTCCCAGTCAGGAAGACACCCCAAATAATGGACAGGGAGTGTCTTCCAAGCACCCCAAATCTTTCCCCAGCCAGCCTCACCGATGCGAAGAACTTCGTGCAAAGGAATGTCCAAGCAGACCCCCCAACGCAGTCCCGGAGACCCCAAAGCCAACTCTGGAGAGAGGAGAGGTCCCCTCCCCTTCCAGCAGGCAGCTGTTCCAGCTAGAGGGGGGGGAGTGTCGGCGCTTTGCAAGGAAACCCACCTCCCCAAAAACACAAGCGCTCACCAAATGAAGATGCGCTCCGCGGGGTAATCCAGGCGGTCCAGGGCCCCCAAGTAGTGGGGCAGAGAGTGCTGGGCATTGCGGGCCAGGATGGCGACCACCACGGTGGGCAGCTCGTCCTCTTCCTCCTCCTCCTCCCTGGTCGGGGGTCCCCCTCCTCCTTCCTCCGTGGGGGGAGAGGGGACCCCCAGGCCCAGGAGGAGAAGCGCAAAAGCGCAGCGGAGCAAAGCGACGGGCGGAGGCATCGCTGCGGCCACGGAGGAGGAGGAAGAGGAGGGGGCGTAGGGGGGGCAGAGGAGGGAGCAGAAGCGGGGGCGGAGCCAAGGGGAGGGGTGGAGCCAGAAAAGGGGGGGGTGGGCTGAAATCTGTTCCCCGGAACCGAAGCTGCTTCGCCCGCACCGGTGTCCTGCTCACCTCCCCTCATCTTTCCCCAGCCTAGACCTGTGAACGCGAGGTCTACTCTCTTTCCCATCCTAGGTGAGGATGATGGGCCTTGCAGTCCGCTGTCCAACTTTAGACTCACGCCTTTGTTTCAGTTGAAGGATCCCGGGGCGGAGAATCGGTCCACCAAAGCGCTAGTCCTCATGGCGTTAGATTTAACAGAGCTGGAAGGGACCTTGTAGGTCATCTAGTCCAACCCCCTGCCCAAGCAGGAAACCCTACACCATTTCGGACAGAGGGCAGCCCAGTCTCTTCTTGAAAGTTTGCGAGTGGGTGGGGAAAGGAACTGTTTCTTATTTCAGACCGTCCCTCTCTCCCGACGGGGGTCCCTCGCTGGCTTATTTTGCCAGGGTCAGCCCTGCATCCCCACCCCCATCCCGAAAGTGGAAATCAAACAGAAGCGCAGTTTTACAAGACCCAGCGGCCGAACTACACCTTACACACAGCCCAAACATGACACTGAGATACAGATCACGAGAAGGAGATTCGTCGCCACTAAAAGGATCAACTGAGAAGACGCTGCCATCTGTTGGGTTAGAAAAATACCCTTTTAATCCGATACTTTAATACCGCCTCTTGAATGGAACTCTGTTTGGGGGGGGGGAGAAATACCCTGCCATTTGTCAGAAATGGTGTAAGGTCTCCTGCTTGGAGGGGGGGTTGGACTAGATGACCCAGAAGGTCCCAACGCTTTAAAAAAAGTGTTCCTAAAAACAGCTTTAAAACTAGATCAGTTTGCGCATTGCACGTCTATGCATCCATAAAGGTAAAAAAGGTTCCTCTTGCACATATGTGCTAGTCGTTCCCGACTCTAGGGGGCGCTGCTCATCTCCGTTTCAAAGCCGAAGAGCCAGCGCTGTCCAAAGATGTCTCCGTGGTCATGTGGCCGGCATGACGCAACGCCAAAGGCGCACGGAACGCTGTTACCTTCCCACCAAAGGTGGTCCCTATTTTTCTATTTGCATTTTTTAACGTGCTTTCNACGGTAACTCACTGGAGCCACAAACCAAATTGACGTCAGCAATCAAGAATTTTCAGAGTTGGTTGTTGTTGTTCTTCCTCTTCTTCTCCTTCTCCTTCTTTTCAACCAAATTCCTTACCATTGGAATTGTGCACCTCCGAATTATCCTTGTTTTTCTTCTGTCTGCACTGGCTAGAAAACCAGAAGGCCTGTTCTGTCACAAGCCAAGATGTTCCTTGGCTCAGCCGTTTCCTTGAAATTACATGTTTACTTTCCAAGTGCCTCTCAAGCTGCGTTCGGTTATGCCAACACATCAACTCCGAACATATTCCTAGCGCGTGGCATGTCTGTTCAGTTGGGATCTGTGCTTTGTTGCTTAGTCAACTGGCCACCCTTGAACGAAACAGAGTTCGAAGCCAAGTCAAATACGCTCTAATTGCAGGATAATTGGGATTATGAAGTGAGAGGGAAATGGGAAGGAGAGGAAATTTCAGAATCCCCGTCGCTGTAAGAGGACGGATGGGCCAAAGAGAGGGAGCTGGGGGGTGGTGGATAATGGGAGTTGTAATCCATGCCCTCCGGAGGCGGCTGGATGGGGAGATGGGCCCTCTGCAGAAAAGTAGTAGAGAAATTGCCTTGTGAACAGGCCAAGAGAAAGCGAGGCCCAGAAGTGGAAACAGAATAAAAAGAGCACGGAAGGAAGGAGAGGGAGAAAGAGAAGAAAAGAAGGAAGGATGGATGGGATGGATGGATGGATGGAAGGAAATTGCTTTGTAAACAGGGCAAGAGAAAGTGAGGCCCAGATGTTGAAAGAAGAGGAAACAGAATAAAAAGAGGGAGGGAGGAGGGGGAGAAAGAGAAGAAAAGAAGGAAGGAAATTGTCTTGTAAACAGGGCAAGAGAAACTGAGGCCCAGATGTTGAAGGAAGAAGAGGAAACAGAATAAAAAGAGGGAGGAGAGGGAGAAAGAGAAGGAAGGAGGAAGGAAGGAAGGCAGAAAATGAGAATGAGTGGAAGGAAGGAAGGAGAGGGAGAAAGAGAAAGAAAGAAGGCAGGAAGGCAGAAAATGAGAATGAGAGGAAGGAAGGAGAGGGAGAAAGAGATGGAAGGAAGAAAGGAAATGAGAATGAGAGGAAGGAAGGAAGGAAATAAATTGTCTTGTAAACAGGCAAAGAAAAAGAGAGGCCCAGATGTTGAAGAAAGAAGAGGAAACAGAATAAAAAAAGGAAGGGAGGGAGGGATGAAGGAAGGAAGGGGAAAGGGAAGAGGAGGAGAAAAGGAAGGAAGGAAAGAAAGAGAAAGAAAGAGAAAGAAAGAGAAAGAAAGAAAGAAAGAAAGAGAAAAAAACNCTTCTCTCCCTCAGGCTGGCCCCATTGATCCTCTCCTCTCCACTTCTCTCCCTCAGGCTTGCCCCATAGTGGCTTCTCCTATCTTATCCCCTTCTGCCCCTGCCCCTGGCCTTCACAATGCAACGGTCACTGCCTTATGGACGTTGACATTTACGAAGATTAAGTCCAAGTCCAAGTATCCCCTTCTCTCCCTCAGGCTGGTCCCATTGATTCTCTCATCTCCCCTTCTCTCCCTCAGGCTTGCCCCACAGAGGCCTCTCCTATCTTATCCCCTTCTCTCCCTCAGTCTGACTCCTTATCATCAGAATGTTTTTCAGGTGGGAAGGGGGGGATTAGAGTGTTTAAACTGTCAGCCGTCAGGCTGGTTGAGTCACGAACTGGCCACGCCAATTCAAGTGGCAGTTGGAACAGAGTTCTTTTCAGGTGGGGAGGGGGAGTAGAATGTCTTCACTCCTTAGCATCAGAGCGTGTTAATCATAACATAAGAAATGCAAATGATCTGGTGGTCATTTTGAAAAATCCTTTCTTAGCGAGAAGCTGCTACGTGCCAAATTTCACATTTGTAGGCTTTACGGTTCTGGAGATTTCGTGATGATGCGTGAATGGTATTTGGCTTTTATATATATATGGATTTGTGATTTCTTCAGTGAAAAGGACCTTTCAGCAGGTGATGGGAAAGAGACCTCTGTGCTGAAAAGCAAGGTATAAATAGATTTGCTATTATTATAAACAGGAACAAGCAGCTACGCTTTTAAGCAGGGTAAGAAGCTTAGCTAGAGACCAAGCCACCTCTCCAAAAAACTTCTGATTCTATCAAACAGTTACTACTTGTTGTCCAGAATATGGCTAATTCTGTACATAGGCACCAGTATTTTGAAAATATATGAGCAATATTTAATGCAATCTTAGCATTTGAAATAATACAAAGTAGCTCGGGTATTAGATTTTGGCAGTGGGTTTGTTCTCCAAGCTTGTTTAGTTTATGAACGTTTCGTTACCAGATTAGATAAGACAAATTCGTTGTGTGTCCAATCACACTGGCTAATAAATTCTATTCTATTCTATTCCATTCCATTCTAAATCCATTTATCCTACTCTATTCTCTCTATTCTATTTTATTCTATTGTCTCTTCTACTCCATTCCATTCCTTATTCTATTCATTCTCTTCTAATTCTCTTCTATTTATTATATTCTCTCTATTCTAGTTTATTCTCTATTCTATTCTATTCTATATATTCTACTCTATTCCCTATTCTATTCAGAATTCTATTCCATTCCTACAAATTGTAACACAGTTGCCTATCGTAAATATTGTACATTCCTCTAGGCTAGTGTTTAACCTTAGCAACTTCTGGGACTTCAACTCCCAGAATTCCCCAGCCAACATGCCTTAAGAACAGTGTGAACAGACTTCAGAATTCCCACGCTGGCTTGGGAATTCTGGGAGTCAAAACCCATCATAAAAGTTGCAGAGGTTCAGAAACATTGACTGAAGAACCTGAAATAATTACCAAGTGTCTGTTTTCCCAGAATGCCCTGCTTTAGTGTGACATGCTGGATTGGGAATTCTAGGAATTAAAGTCTTATAACATCCTAAAGTTTGAAAAACACTGATTTAAAATATTCCAGGTAAGGCTGGAGAGGACAGAGGGATTTGTGATGCTTTTATATTTACAGTTTGCTTTATATACAGCGTAAGATGAATCAAGTGCAGTAAAATACTGATTTTTTTAGTATATTCACTGCAAAGAGCGATTTGGAGCATGGGTGAAATCAGCAAGGACCTCTCTATTTTTTCTATCTCTATAGCTTCCTCCAAAGAGGAACCAAGAGGACGAATTGCGCCTGCGCCGCCCAATCGGCGGACAAACTGCGCCTGCGCCGTTGCTTCAGCGGACATCCGCTCTACCCGCCTGCAACTCTTTGGTGCAAAAAAAACTCGATGGTTTCCCGTTTTTAAAAGAACGAGAGCGCGAAAAGAAAAGAAAGCGGGGGGAAAAAGTCGCCGCCGGCCTTTGGAAAAAATGCCGAAACCGCCGCAGGAAGGCCCGAATCCTTTATTTACGCGATGGTTGGAGGAATGGCGCAACCAGGCTGCGGAGAACGGACGCCTCAAGAGCCAACGCGCTTATGAACGCGTAAGCCCCGCCCATGCGGCAAGCTCCGCCCACCGCGGCAAGCCCCGCCTCCAATGAGTGTCTATCTTGGGACCAAATTTCCTATTAAGTCTGTAGAGTAATGAGGAAAACTCTTAATATAACAATTAGAATAATTACTAGGAAATTAATTATAATAAAAATGCAATAATTAGCCCAACTTTTGGTACAAGGCCTTTTACAATAGTTGTTAGTATAGAAATCAATGTAATTATGCAGGAATTAGCATATCTATTAGTACAATTCGCTTAATAAGAGCAGAATTTTGAGTGTAAGTGAGATTAGCGTAACTATTTGTTTTTTTAAATTAGTATATTAATTAGATCGGTCAGAATGGGTCATCGTGGCTATATTAATGCCGTTAAGCCAATAATTTATAATGTCTTCATGTTCATTATTCATCATACCAATGTCAGTGTGGATCGGAAAGGCGGGGCTAATGTAATAATAGTGATACCTAGAAGACTGCTTATGAATCATGAAATTAAAAATTTAATGTATTAAGGGGTGTAGGGTTTACTGCCTAACCAGGGGTTCAACCATAAGACCTCCAAGGTCCCATCTAACTATTCTATTCTATTCTATTCTATATTCTATTATATTTTATTCTATATTCTATTATATTTTATTCTATATTCTATTCTCTATTCTGTTCCATTCTATTCTATAGTCTATAGTCTATATTCTATTCCATTTTATTCTCTATTTATTCTCTATTATATGCTATTCTATATTTATTCTATTCTATTTACCTATATTCTATTCTATCCTCTATTCTATTCTCATATTCTATTCATTTATTCTATATTCTATTCTGTATTCTGTTCTTTCTATATCTATTCTATTCTATATTCTATTCTGTTCTATCCTATATTCTATTCTATTCCATTCTATTCTATATTCTATTATATTTTATTCTATATTCTATTCTATATTCTGTTCTATTCTATATTCTCTAGTCTATATTCTCTATTCCATTTTATTCTCTATTTATTCTCCATTCTATTCTGTATTATATGCTATTCTATATTTATTCTATTCTCTATTCTATTTATCTATATTCTATTCTCTATTTTATTCTCATATTCTATCCTTTTATTCTATATTCTATTCTGTATTATGTTCTTTCTATATTTATTCTATTCTATATTCTATTCTATTCTGTTCTATCCTATATTCTATTCTATTCCATTCTATTCTATATTCTATTATAATTTATTCTATATTCTATTCTATATTCTGTTCTATTCTCTATTCTATAGTCTATATTCTCTATTCTATTCCATTTTATTCTCTATTCTATTCTCTATTATATGCTATTCTATATTTATTCTATTCTATATTCTATTTATCTATATTCTATTCTATTCTCATATTCTATTCTTTTATTCTATATTCTATTCTGTATTATGTTCTTTCTATATTTATTCTATTCTATATTCTACTCTATTCTTTTCTGTTCTATCCTATCCTCTATTCTATCCTATCCTATATTCTAATCTATTCTATTCTATTCTCTCTTCTCTTCTTACACCTCATTGATGGTTTAAGGAAGCCAGCTCCTTCAATCCACTCACTAGGAACAATTTCAGTGATGCTTAACTGATCACAATTATCTGTCTCTCTTTGTCCTTTGCAGGCCCTAAGCTCCCTCCGCAAATATCCCCTTCCTCTGCGCAGTGGCCGTGAGGCTCGGATCCTCATGTATTTCGGGGAGAAGATCTGCCGTCAGCTGGATGAACAGCTGGAGAGACACCGCAGCACCCAGGACGGTACAGCACTAGAAGAGGAGAGGCCTGTGCTCCCTGCAGGTAGTTCTCAAACTTACGACCGGTTGCTTAGCGACCGTTCGCTAGGACCCACCCCAGGCTACTTATGACCCAGGTTCAGATAGGAGGGTCCCATACCCATGTTCACATCAGTGGTGGGTTCCAGACCCCAGCACAGCCAATAGGCTGCGCACAGGCCTGGGTGGGCCAAGTGAGCCACCGTACCGCTATGATGGCCACTGCTCCCGGCTTCGGCCATACCGCCCGGAACTCACCACTGGTTCACACGATTGCATTCAGGGCGTTGTTCGGCAACCTTCCACATTTATGGCTGTCTGCAGCCTCGCTTGGTCGCGACGGATGGAGTTTTAGCTTTAATTTTGTATTTCTGGCAAAAGAAACCCCAACTCCCCCCTTAGTTTGCTTTATTGTCATTGCACCTCCTACCATGAAATTAAATGCTATCTTCAGTGTACATTATAACCATCAAAATAAAAACACAAGCACACCTCCTTCACATGATATAGAATTGAAATGGAAAACTCCGATATTGCATTAATATTGCACTGTACCATAGAATTCAATATAGTTACTGCCCAGTGGTGGGTTTCAAAAATTGTTCGAATCTACTCTGTGGGTGTGGCCTCCTNTTCCTTTTTTCCCATTCCACATGGTAAAGAAACTTTTAATACCCAAAGAATCTGTCTAGTTGACAAATTCTCTTTTAGTTTAGTGTAAGAATTCCAGAGAAAGAAAGTAGAGATGCAGCCAGCCACCTGGAGGAGCAGCAAACTGCGGCGTGCTTCTTCTGCAGAATCGGCTGAGCGCGGCTATCACGTGGGACACGTGTCAAAGGTCACAGCGCAGCTCACAATGGAGTTCTCTGATCCAGTGCAAAGCGGTTTACAGATCCTGGCTGAACCGGGCTGCTTCTCGCTCCGAGCTTTCCAGGCTCTGCTCCAGGCTGCCTTCCAGAGCTTGCTCAGCGGCCAGACCAAGCAGGCCGCCTTGGGTAAGTGCTGGTTTCGGGCCGCGAGCCTCCGGCCGCCGGTGAGAAGAAGAGCTGTGCTGGGAGTTGGGCGCCGGCCGAGGGAAGCGTGCCGGCAGCACGGTGAATCGCTCGCCTTTGGCCACAGCTGATGCCTAGTTGCTTCGCATTAGCGTCCACGGTCGTTTTCCATCAAGCACAGGGGATTTCCACCGCGCTGAGCGGCGCTCGAATGGTGCGCTGCGTCCTCTCCCTTTTTCTTTCCGGGTTTTATTCTCGTTGCTGCTCTCCATTTCCCTGTGGTTGTCATTTCCTTGCAGAAATTCAAGGGTGCCTCTCGCTTATTTGTGGCCTAAAAGCGAAGGTAAAGCCATTCTCTCCCGAAAGCAGAACGAGAAAGAAAAGTTGCCGTTTGGAGGTGGTTTCCACCGTTTTGTTTTTAATATTCCGTGGAGGCATTCCCAGCCCTCTGACAGTCGGAAGTGATTTTTGCAAAAGTCAGAGGTTCAAGAGGGTGAATGTAGTTGAATAAGGCACCGAGTTGGGTTTAGTACCTGGATCCCGCAGATTTTATTGTGATCATGTGATAGTCTTCTTTTACTCAATGGTTGTAATACATTGATCTTAATCTTATGGCCCAGAAACGCCGCTCATTTGGTTTGATGGTTTGGGGTTTGTTGTTTTTGTGCTTCAAATTGAATTTCTCGGACGATTGGCATTCACCAGCTGTTTGCCAAACTGCGAGGTTTCTTGAAGCCAGCCGCCTCTCGCAGGAGGAAAGGGGCTCGCGTTTACCGTTTGCCTGAAGGGCTCTGCGAGATCTTGGGCTGAATACACGCGGCCTCCGATAGGTGCTAGTTTGAACTGCAACCCTGGAAAACCAGTTCGGATTTTCTTAAAAGGAGGACGGGGAAAAGAGAGCAAAAATCAGAAGAGTTGGGAAGTGGGGTAGAGGGGTGACACAGTATTCCGAGCACTATTGTTAGAAAAGCGAAATTACAGACTTATTTCACTATGGCACTGGGAGAAAATTTCACACGGTTATCTGAACTCCCGAGAACGTCTGCCCCTTAATTGGCAAAAAGGGGGGTTAACTCTTCTCCCGAACGAGAACACCGCAATTTTCTGAAGGTATGTTTACTGACACTCGTCAGCCTGATTACTTCCCAAACTCTGTGTTGGCCAGTAGTTCAAAGAATGGATGGCCATGAGTGGGAAAGGGAAACTACAGGAGCTGTTGAGGTAATGGCTGAGCTCTTTTCCTTTCTTTGGTGCTTTCTGGATGTTGGGGAGAAATCTAGTTCAATTCGGTTCTAGAAAGTCAATATAATATCTCAGGTCTTGCAAAAATTATTCATGTTTGAGATGAACAGTTGCTGAAATTTTCCCAACATTATTTTAATTCCTTATAAAACCTTCTATGAAAACAAGTCCTTCCCCCAATATTGTGTTTAGAACTGTAACTAAATGTTGTCAATATGATAGCCTTCTGCTTGCCCAGTTGCTATAATTGCATGGAGCTTAGTCTTCCTGCATGAGAAAACCATTGTATATATATAGTGTGTGTATCCTCCTGAAATATGTAATCATCAAGCATTCATTTCTTTTTAGATTACCCAGATTTGGAACATATTGATCCAGCAATATTAAAATACTGCCACACAGCAGCTACCACTTATATAATAGAAGCTGGGAAGCAAAAAGCTGACAAATCTATTATAAGGTATTCTAAAACTCTTCAACTTAAAAAAAAATGTTTGACTTGTTTTAGGTTTATTGGTAACACATCTTGCTTTTCCTTTTAGCGCGTATCTAGAAGACTGTAAATTCAACAGAGAAAGCATTGAACATTTTTGCACTGAATATCAGGTTTCTAAACACATTTTATCTTTTTTCATTCCTTCCATTAATTTTAGTGTAATCTGTAGACGCTTACACACTTTTATCCTTCCCTTTTTGTAGATACATAAGGATACCTTGGAAATCATGTTGGGGAGGTATGTCCAGGGAAATTATATTAATCTTCCAACTTTCAAATGCATCTTGAAAATAAACATCTTCACAAGTTATCTAATTGAAGTAACATGCTCCACAAAAGCACAATTAATACATTGCTGCTACTTTTCTTTTTTACCTATATGATCTTGCAACAGTTATGCTGTTCAGCATATCTTAGCCTAATCAATATTTATGATGATCACAGTATAGGCAGATGTCCACTGCATGTAACTGATGTTTGCTGGCAACTGGAATATCAAATCAAGGTAATTTAAATCAAATGGGTATTATTTCTTTTTCACTTTGATTTGCAAAACTTATTTTTTTCCTTCTGTCTTATCTCTTTAGACTAATCAACTTCATAAAAAGTATTGCCCTGCCTATTTGATGACCTTAAGAGTAGAGGTATAGCATCCATCCAGAAAATTCAAATATTAGATTATTATTGCTTTAGTTTTGTTACTTATTAATGACTAATGTTTGGGATTTTGTTATTTTAGAACATTGATTCAAGATCTCATGAGGACATTCATTTTAGTTGTTCTATGGATCAATTGCAGGTATTTTATCTTACCCTTTTGTGTACTGGTAGAGAGTAGCACCAGAATTTACAAAAAGTCCATAAAAATATAAAATGCCGAGGTGGCACAGTGGTTAAATGCAGCACTGCAGGCTACTTCAGCTGATTGCAGTTCTGCAGTTCGGCGGTTCAAATCTCACCGGCTCAGGGTTGACTCAGCCTTCCATCCTTCCGAGGTGGGTAAAATGAGGACCCGGATTGTTGTTGGGGGCAATATGCTGACTCTGTAAACCGCTTAGAGAGGGCTGAAAGCCCTATGAAGCGGTATATAAGTCTAACTGCTATTGCTAACTGCTATTAAAATATAAGATGTTTCACATCTTTTAAAATACAAAATGCTACAGAATTGTAGCTTTCCTATTTTTCCAATATGAGTTTTCAAGTTGATTCACATAAGTGACTGCACTATGCAAAAATATTTTTGGCAGAATGGGTGGAAGCTGTTTCAAATGTGTTACATTAGATGAAACCCATTTTCTGTATTGTATAATATGTACTGAATATGGAATTTGGCTTATTTGATTTTACATAAACTACAATGTATTGATAGCTTCATTAAACCTAATAAACTTACTAATGAGGGGAAGGAGGGTAAACTTACCAAAACTTGAAAAACTAAGAAATAAGCAACTGCCTACAATTTCATATTGTTTCAAGATTCTATATGTACAAATCACATATTTGTAAAAACCCCATGTTTCAATGGAATGCATTAGATAACGTTAGGATTGCCAACTCAGAAAATTCCTGGGTTAGTTTACTTCTTTATATTCAATTAAGCTGTAAGAAATTATATTCTGTGTATTATTTGACAAATAAGAAAAGAATAAATTTTATTTATCAACCTATCTGTCCCAGTCCAAACTCATTAATTTTATATGTGATAATGTTACAATGTTCCCTTTAGGTACATTCATGATGTACGCTAATTAAAATAATGATGTTTCAAATGGCAGAAAAATACATTAAGTCACTGGGACTTTTGTACAAAGGGAATTTCTAATAATGCCTAAAATTAGTTATAGCAAACTATTTCTTTTCTGAAGCTTTTATTTCATATTTTAGGATTTAGTTGAAAAGTTAAAAGATGCAGCTAAAAGTCTAGAAAGAAAAACTCAACTATAATTTACACACTTGGCAATCAAGTACATTGAAGAAAAGGAAATGCTTGCTTCTTTGACTATATAATCTTTTTCCTGTTTCATATTCAGTGGAACTTTGATAAATGTTTAGTCAAACAGAGATGGAACTTTTACTTTCTAGATAACATTGCAAGATTTGTGTGCAATAAAAACTCTTGAGCTTGTTAAACAACTGTGATATCTGTTTAGATAACTATACATTTTTAAAATACCTGCTTGTCTTTCAGTTTTGCCCTTTTTAAAAATAAATCTTTGATTTCTCAATTATCTACTTTATCATCTAATAAACAAGTGAACATGAATCTAGTTTGTGTGTTTTATGTGACTATAGTAATGGGTTGGGAGGGACTGGATTCTCAGCAGCTCCAACATTCCAAGATAATCCACCCAACAAAATCATGTTAAATAGTTGTGTAGAGCTTTGTATCTAAACACCATTCTATTGTAATGAAGTCATCACCTTGCTTGCATGTGCTAAAAAGCACCTTTGGGATTTGCTTGCACTTCATTTTGGTGAAGGCATGTTTCTGCTGTTTTTTAATGTTGAAGAAGATTCCATTCATTCATCTCTTTCAACCTGGGTTTACTTATTAAATATTTGACCATTTCTGTAAATAGAAAATAGTTGAAGTGTCCTGAATTGTGGCAGTTGAGTGACTAGAGCAGGGGTAGTCAACCTTTTTATACCTACCGCCCACTTTTGCATCACTGTTAGTAGTAAAATTTTCTAACCGCCCACCGGTTCCACAGTANACTTAGGCAGAGGCTCTGTTTCCCTGAAATGAAACATGTGTTTGTATCTTCTGATGAATTGAGTTGCCTCCTTCTGTGCCTCACTGCTTGGGAAATAATTTAAGTCCACTCAATTGCTCGACCCTTTCTAGTCTACCTTTTGGTTGAAGTACCCTGGATTTACTGCATCTTAATTTGAACAGATAGACGTGTTTTATCACAATAGTGATGATGGTACTGATGAGGACTTCAATTACCTTCTAAAGGGTTGGGGTGAAGAAGTATATCCTTTATTTATGTCCTGAAGAATGCTCTGGAACCAGAAGGAGAGGCCAGGCGTGGAGGCTCCGGTTTTCCTTGCCAACACCCAGTTCTCGGCTAAGGTTATCGAACCTCTCCTTCCCCTTCTACTCCAAACTTGTATATCTCCCCCCCCCAAAAGATAAAAATAGCAATTTACTCCATGCAACAACGGCATCGTTCCGTCTCTGTTTCTTCTTCCCTTTCCTTTTTTCCCCCATTTTGGGGAAGGGGTACGTAGAACAAGTGAAGTTTTGGTAGTTGGTTTTGTAGCGAACGATCCAAGTTGTCCCCTCTCCATCCCTCTTCCACCTATCCTCGCGCCTTTTGGAACATCGGACAGAAATTCGAGACTCTTTGGGAAGCGTCGGAATATTTTGCCTTGATTGCCGTGCGTTCAGAGCAGAACAAGGAAGATGCGCGGTGCGGGAATGAAACCTGTTCGAACTTTCGGCTGAGCACAACCTCCCCACTTCCTTCCCGCCCACTGTAAATTTTTCCTTGCCGGGCGGTGGAGCGTTATGCTCCGCGTGAGGATTTCCTCAGACAGTTTTGCTTTGCTCTCTTCACTTCCCGGCTACAGCCCGAGAGTCGCGATACATTTGCAGCATTTCTGTGGATCTGCGACTTGGCAAGCTTGGACTGCCGGAGCGAAATGTCGACGGGTGCTACGACTCTCTTGAATCCGGCAAAGGCTGGCGCTCCTTTAAAGTCTCTACCACTCTGAAAGGGGCCAACTTTTAACTCCGTGCCTTGGCGATCCAAAAGGCGATAAGGTTGTATGGCGCTGCGGACAGGAGCCGCGTGGCGGAGAAGGGGAAGAAACAGTGGCCACTTTCTTGCCTGTGGCCGACGTGGATGAAGGCCCCGAGAGAAACCGAAAGCCCCTGGAGGAGCCTCTTGCTTTCGGTCTGGCATCGACTCCAGAGCTGACTCGGGCCGCCCTCAAGGCCTCCTACTGCCAGCCCGCTTTTGGCGTTCTCCTTTTCTCTCCCTGCGACGCGTCCTCCCGCCCAACTGGACTGCTCCGAGGGGAATTTTGGCCCCGCCAGTAACACCCGACCAGGATCCTTCCCCCGGATTTCATCCCTGGACACGAACCGGGTTCCTTTCCACAGCGGTACCCCCGGCCCGTCCTTCTCCCCCGCCATCCCCTGCTTGATCCCTGTCAAGAAACTGGACATTCTTCCGCGGCGAGACTCCAAAGTTGCCCTCCTGTTCCCTGCGCACCCCCCTCCCGTTTCCTCTCGAAACCACCTCTTCCCAGCCTGGCCCCTCCCCGCCTCCTCTCCCCTGGTGCGCTCCGGGTGGTGGCAGGATGCCAAGTGTAAGTGTAAGTTGCTATAGCAACCCCTTCGCTAGAATGGTTCCGAAGACGGCTCGGTCCCGAGCCTCTTGGGTTGGCGTCGGCGACGCGGCTAACAGCCGTAGCAGTTCCTGGGGTCTTATCCTGTCCGCTGCTACTCGCCTGCTAGCCGTTGTTCCGAGGTGCGGGCCCCAACCGCGCCAGCAGCCACCCACCCAGCCACCCCTCCTTTGCTTGCTTCTTCCTTCGCCGCCGCCTCAACCGCGGCCACCACCCCCCTCTTCTCGCCGGAAATGCCCAGAGCAACGTCCGCGCCTGCAGTAGGATCACTTCCCCGCCTCCCGCTTGTCCGGTTCTCCGCTCCGCAATCCCGATCTGCGGTTTTCCGGTAGCGCTGAGGGTGGGGGTGGGGGGGTGAAGGCCTGTGGGTCATACCCCGAGGAGCCTCCTCCGCCCGTCCCAGGCAACTCCCCTTCTGAATATCGCCGCGCAGGGATAGGGGCAGGTGGTCCCTGGACACAGCCCTCTGGAAGGAACCCCCACTCCTACAATTGCCGCTTCCATATGCTTCCAGGCTCTTGGTTCGGCGGCTTCGCACCTCCTTTTTCTCGCCTGGACCTGATTGTTTGTCTTCCCCGAGAGAAGGCCAACTTTTAGCCGCGGGGAAGTGAGGGAATCGTGTTGGGCCGCGCCTCCGAAGTTCCCCCACGGTGTTTAAAGCGCTCTCTTTGTTTGTACATCTTTCAGAGCCTCCTCGCATTGAACCAAAATGCATCGCACCACCCGCATCAAAATTACGGAGCTCAACCCCCACCTCATGTGTGTGATTTGCGGAGGATACTTCATTGATGCTACCACGATCATCGAGTGCCTGCACTCCTGTAAGTCCTGCTTGGTTGCTTCTCATCAGGGAAAGGGGCCTGCTGCCAGCCAACCAGCCCTCCTTGTCCCTTGGTCCTGGTGGAGCAGGGTCTCTGGGTTTAGAAATAACAGCTGAAGACCTTGCCTTAATTCTGTTTTATAATCTTATTTCTGCACAATTCTATGTCTATGTTTTGTTTCCCTTGTAGTCTGTAAGACTTGTATTGTGCACTACTTGGAGAGCAGCAAGTATTGTCCCATTTGCGATGTCCAAGTTCACAAAACTAAGCCTCTTTTGAACATAAGGTAGGAAAAAGACAACTACTTTGTTATATTGTGACTTTTCACATTTACTATTTCTTTGGGTGCAACCTCACTGCCAACACAAATCTGAAAAAAGATGTTAGTTCAGGACACATAATTGTATTGTTTCCATAAGCATCTGTCTTACATTTCAGTCAGTCATTTTTCTTCTTTTTCTACATAAGAAGCCCATTTGTTCCTTTTATCTTTCTTCTTTTCTTTCTTACCCTGTCCAAATTGTAATTAAAATTGTTTTATTCTCATGTAAGTGTGCATATTAATTTCCTGTATTTTTTCAGTATTGCTCTTTATAAATATATTGATAAATGCAGAAGTTAAATGCTTTTCAGAAATCTTCCTTATTGAGTTGCATTTCATTGGCCCTTTTATGGTTACATCTCTTTATTAAGTTCCTACATTAATACAATGGTGTCAGTCTAATGATAATCAGATATCTTTCTACCAAAGCAAAACAAAAATATAGATACTTTAATAGCATAGATCAAAAATTATATAAAACAATTTAAAGCTTGTTAAAGCTTTGGTTAAAAATTCTCAGCCAAGCTACTTTTGGATCTGGAAAGTTGTGAATATTAACATCATTTTAAATTGAGTGTCTCGGATTTTATATTTTAGGTCTGATAAAACTCTCCAGGACATTGTGTACAAGTTAGTACCAGGNTTAACTGGCTGCCCAAGCAGAACCTCATTGTCCGGGGCAGAACACAGCTCCTGTGGTGAACTGAATTTATACACCAAAGGCGGGAAGTGAGAAGGTGTGTCCAAATACAGGAAGAAATTGACCGAGAAAATTCGTGGCAGGGCACCTTCAGGGGCCTTGGGGGACAGGAACAAAGGCAAAAAAAAAAAAAAAAGAAGAAGAAGCGGTGAAATACAACGCTAGACCTTATTGGGGTGAAAAACCTGGAATAGTCGTCGGGGCATTTTGAGAAAGGGCAAACAACGGGGGAGGGGAAGTAAAGTAGGTGATGTGCAGCATGCTAGGGAAGGGGAAAGAAAATAAGTACCTGAGGGAAAACGAAAATGGGCTGGGACTTTGGGGGTAGGTGAGGGGGGCAACGCCAGAAGAAAGATATGGGGAAGGGAGAGTTTAGTTTTGCCAGAGCAGCGCGAATCCCCTTCACATGAGAGAACTGTGATTCGGGGGGGGGGGGGGGGGCGGAGAGACACCTTGGCCTAAGTAAAGGACTTGGGGGGGGCTCGTGCTGAGCCGGGCCAGAAGGCAGTGGGATCTGCGCCGGAGCTGAAGAAGTCGCGCGCGCCTGGGAAGCAGCGGGTCAGATGCCAAGGCAGGAAAATCCGCTCTAACGGAAAGGAGTGAAGGTAGAAGTGCCGAGATGACTCTAGGGGCTGATGGTTTCAGCTGCCATTTCCAGCCTCAACTTTCATCGTACCATTTGGACCGCTTTTCTAAGATTTCTGAGGTATCCTAACACTGAGGTGCCCAGGACGACGTGTAGGAAGAACGTTAGATCTGAGTCTGTGTTGTGGGAGAAGAACCCTAGAGTCTAGGCTAGGGCGGAAGCCAGCTATAGGTCTGGGGGAAAGGAGGTCTGGGGAGAGGTGCTGAGGTGGAAACTAGGGTGGCGCACAACACTGCAAAAATGGTGGGCAACCTTTCTGAGTGTGTGTGGCGCGCAAGGGAGGCAGGCAGTAAGAGAAAGGAGCAGAGCAGCTTCAGTACCAGAGGCCCGGGGTGGAGAGACTGAAGCCAAAGGTCTGTCTGTGGTTGCTGACAGTTTATTGCGCCTTGAAAAGGGGCTGGGTAGCGTTTTTGTGTGAAAGGGTAGATTTTAGCCAATAAAAGGCAAGGAGCGGGGGCAGAGGGAGATCTCTTTGAGACCTTGTTAAGCGAAAAAGGAATTGCTCGTTTGAGGTGACGCGGCGTGTAAAATCGGGAGAGGAATGGGCGCCGTGTGCAAAGAGCGGGGTAGGTGTGCAAGCTGGAAGGGACAAGGAAAGGAATACCGTATTGTACGCGCGTGAGTGAGTGCGCGAGCGGGGAAGAAGCGGGAAGTGCCGCGGAGAAAAGAACTAGCGAAGTGTGAGCGCGCGTGCGTGCGTCTGTAGGGGAGAAACTGAAGAGCAGGCGGAGTGGAGGGAAGGGGAGGGCGTCTGAGTCGCGGGATTAGGTCACAGGGAGGCTGACTGCTCTGACTACACGCACGCTAATTCCCAGGCCACACTTAAGACATGAGAAGTCCCACGTGATGCTGGCGGGGCGGCCGAACTCTGAGCCATCTGGGGCACGGCGTCAGTTTCCACGGTGCGCCTTCACTGCTTCGCTCCCTCCATCTAAAGCACCACACGCCTCTCCACTACCTCCCCGCTTGCTCCTTCCACAGCAACAACTCTGATCTATTGCAAATATTTGCAGATTATTTTTACAGAGAGGAAAGTGCGGAAAGAAGAACTCTCGAAGGCAGGAGAGGGAAAAAGCAAGACCGGGGCTGGGGAAACCGATAGACTGAGCCGGAAGGAGAGCTTGGTACGCGGAGAGACAATGAGCTGGTGGTGGAAGGGGAAGAGTGGCATTCCAGACGGGCTGGGAAGATTTTAAGAGCCCAAACACTGGAGCTACGTATTTTAAAGAGCGACCGAGATTGGGAAAGAGAAGAGAGAAAAGGAGACACCGAAAGGAAGAGGAGGTGCAAGGCAATCAGACTCGGAGTGATCCCGAAGGAGAGTCGCCCAGCTGTTTGGAGAACTAAAAGGAACTCGGCAGCAATACGCTGATTGCAACTGACAGCCCCTATAGTTCGTTTCAAGATGGCCGCTTGCCTCACATTCATTTTCTGCTAAACGACTTTTAACTTTCATTGTCTTTTCCCGGCAGTTTCGGTCGTCTCCCGGGAGCGTCTTTTCGCGGGTAGGTGTGCAGGGGCGCGCTGTCTAGCTGAGGCCGGAGGACAATGGGGATTTCGCGGAGGGTTGGAAGGCTGCGAGGGAAAGCTTCGGTGTCCCCGAACTGTCCATATGGGAAAAGCGCTGACAGTCTCGGCTTCAGCCCATTTCGCTCCTAGCGCGCGCCCAGAGACCGGTTGCTGCAACAGTAGCAGCCCAGACACTTGCTTTACCTTAGTTCCGTAACCAACTTTTGCAAATTTTCGTTCCCTTTCCCCCTGCCCTGTATGTACGGCCCCGGAGCAGGATATTTGTATTTTCGGCTGAGACTATTCGAGTCTACCCGTCTTTGTTTATAGGCAGATTTCGATTGAAGAGGGACACTTCGTGCAATCGTGAGTTGCCTGGGTCACGGGAAGGCGATCGCTTACGAAACAAACGGGTCGTCCGGGGGTTCAAAAGCCACCGAACGCTCCCATTTTGTAGGGGTGAATTCTGCGGGGGGTTGCGATCTTGCTAGAAGGTTCGCCGAGCCGATGGGGACCCCCGGAGAAATGTTATTAACTTACGTTCGGCCAACACTTGCGTGGTGAGAAATGGCTTGGTAAGATGGCGAGGGCGGTTCTCTTTTAGCGTGTCCTTTCGCATTTGTGCTTAAATGCTGAAGTTTCTCCCGGCTTTGGAGGATAGGAGAGTGGAGTTTGACGCTGGAAATGTACCTTTGAGGAGAGAAGTTACCGCGTGTCTGAATCTTAAATAAGTAAACATGGAGAATTGGAGGAACTGCGTTGTAATAGGACATGCAGGCACTTCGACTGCAGCTTTCTATCGTTTAGCCGTGATTTCGCCTCTTCCCCACACCGTTCCAAGTTGGATGAGGGGAGGTTAACTGAAGCATCATGTTACTAGCCGAGATGTGATGGCTTTGCTCCTGACTNCGCGCATTTGTGGTGGAACCGCTGTGGAGACAAGGTTGTGAAAATTACCCCTATTTCATCTGTAAGAATGCAGAAGCAAAGGAATTTATCCTTGTCCTGTAGTGCCATCAAAGTAGAAAGATTGTCATGCTCTGGTCCTAACTGTACTGTAGTGCAAAATATTGCTTTGGGGCAACTTACCTACATTAAAAGAATGGTTTTCAAGGAGGAAGAAGGAAACTCAACACCCTAGCTCGGATTCTCTTACTTTAAAACAAAGAGTTCTGCCATATTAAGGTTTAAATAGCCAGTGCTTGACTCTCATTCATAACCTTAATGAGCACAACAAACCCCTGCTTAATTATCTTGAATGACCTGCCATCCACTGCAGGGTTGTTCCACTACTTCATCATACACAGCAAGAAAAGTGATCATCCTCACAGCCTAGAGGGTGTGCAAACAGTGGTATTGATGCCTTCTAGATATCTTCGCCTAAACATTCCCAACTCAGGGCATTATACACCCTGGAAAGTTTAAAGTCCAGAACATCTGGAGGGAACCCAATTTTCCACACCTGCACTAGAGTAGGAGAAAGATCTTCACTTTGTACTCCCTAACATGTGATTTTTTTCTAATTAATGGGAAGCACAGAGCAGGAAATGTAGTTTTTTTAAAAAAAAAAAAAACGGGTCATTTGGAAGCAGTAAGGTAGTCTGAGGATAATGGATTTCCTTTCACTAAATATCTTGCTCACTACCACCACTCCATTTTCTGGTTCATATTTTGCTAGGCAACTTTCCATAACTTGTTGCCTTCCAGCTGTATTTTATAACCAGCCTTCTGCATGTTTGCTGGGAATGATGGAAGATGAAATTCCAACACATTTGATGGAGAGTAACAGGAAGGACCGTTAAGGAGGGACTTTTCATGCTATGGTTGTGGGGTCAGAGGGAGCCTATAGTGCCGTGATGGCGAACCTATGGCACAGGTGGCACGCAAAGCCATATCTGTTGGCCAGCTGATTTTTGGTCTTCTGGAGGGCTGGGCGTTTTCGCCCTCCCCAGGCTGCAGGAAAGCCTCCAGAGCCTGGGGAAGGTGAAAACAGCCTCCCCTGGCCCCCCAGAGGAAATATTAAGTTCAACTTGGAGGCGAGCAGTGCGGTGTGTGTGTGTGTGAGCACGTGTGTGTGTGAGCACGCATGCACATGTGGGCACACTTTGCATTATGGGTACCGGCACACACACTTGCTATTGCATGTGCATGCTCGCATTTTTGGCACCCAACAACAAAAAGGTTAGCAATCACTGCTATAGTGATTGCACCTAGATCCCATTGGGAGTGCTAAGCCATTCCTTCTGAATACATTTTTCCTCAAACCTAAACACAAGATGGGGCAGTTCTACAAATGTGGTGGGACCTACTTCCCTAACTGCAGCATTTGACACTAATGTGTTGCTCTGAAGTTGAAAGTTGGTCAACTCTTGGGTTGAAAGAGTATTGTACAGTGAAATCTGCAACAGGATCCTGATCTGGATTTCATTCCCTGGTTGAAGCTATTGTGAATTAATGATTTTCAGGAAAGCATTATTTCCCCTTCCATCATTTTTCTTGAGAGAACTGTAAGGATATTTTTAACCATTGTCTTCAGTTTTTTTAATTTCTGTGGGATCCTTGAATGACAATGTTGTATCAAAACACATTCATATGGATGAAACTTGCAGATGAGGGTGTAAAAAGCCCTCTTTCATTAAAGTTTATTTTGGGTGGGTTGGTGGGTGGGTGGGTGGAGAGGACACTTAATATCAATAAAAAGTTGATAGCAGGATGGTGGTGTTTGCCATGCACAAGGAACAATGCAGGTGATTATCTTCAAAGTCAATGTGATAGTAAATCTCACAGAAAATTATATTCAACCCAGGGTCTTTCTTTTTAAAGGGTCATTTTCTGATGCCAGCTCCCTTCCTACAATAACATTCCACCTTCTGTCTGCCCAGGGACCAACATATAAGCATCTCATGAACACCTGCCAAGATGGAAGAAAATGTTAAGTCACTCTGGCGCCCCAATCAGTTCCAATGTTGGCACCCTAGAATTGTCGAGACAAAGGGTTGCCCGAAATGAAGGAAAGACTGTTGTCTTAGGAAAGGGAATGCCTAGCATAGGGTTGCCTGCTTCTCAAAAAGTGGTCGAGGAAAGATTCTGAGGATATTCCAAAACAAGCTAGCTTCAAGTTTGCTCTTGTGGACACAAAAGGAAAAAAAAGGAACAGGTAGACTATGCTGCCACTAAACATCCAGAAAACCTGTGCCTCTACTTGGAATTCTGCCATTGTGTAAAAAGAGAAAAGGAAATGTAAGAGCACAGAAAAACTGTGAGATAAATGTGTGTCAGACAGCAAGGGCTCTGTGAAGTGGGAGACTTATGTGAGATGAAGTAGAGAAGATGTGTAATAAGAGGTGAGGAATCTGGAAGACCACCCTCACTTAAGCCTACTAGAATCAGCTGTGGCGAGGGGGGTGGGGGTGGCATCCATCCGCCAGTCAGTGCCGACTGGCGACTACNTACAATAGTATATGTCCTTTTTCTAGAGTTGAACAGAAAGGAAGCAATGAGAAAGAAAAAGCCAATGAGGAGGTAAGTAGATTGTTAAATGTCTATGGAGATTCTCAGTCATCCAGGTCATGGTTGTCCCAAAGGTGCTTTTTCAAGAGGCAACTTGATTTTTGTGGTTTTTCTTTGAAGATGTTTCACAAAATGTCTAAGTAGATTGTTGGTTCCTTGACACTTACAGTCCTTAGTCAGAAAATAAAATTTATCAATATTTGTTTTTATTTCCTTAAGTATATAAGTAGTTATTCTGCAGACAATGAATATGCTTTCTTAGTAATTAAAATAAGGTTGATAAAAATAAGTTGGGGTTCTTTTTGTATTGGGAGACTTCCTCCTATTTTTCCCCTTCCTTAGTATATTTAATTTTTAAGAATAAGGTTTGTGTGAGTTAATTAAATCCTAAAAAAAACCCTAATAAGCATGTACTTTGCATCTTATCTCATTGATTTTGGATCCCAATGAGCATTTAGATTTCATACAGCTAGTTTTAACCACAGTTCCATGTATTTCTATCTAACTGTATTAAAATGAACTTTAGTATCCGATTTTGAATGGTGTCTATTATTGTTTCAACCAAATGCCCCTCCCAGGCCAAAGATAAAAGATATTTACGCTGTCCTGCAGCAATGACTGTAATGCACTTGAGAAAGTTTCTCCGGAGCAAAATGGACATACCGAATGCTTTTCAGGTACTTCTGATCTATGGACATTGATAGGGAAGAACCCGCACAAAAGAGTTAGCAAAAGGCATTATTTAAACTTCAATTCTTTGGAAAAGAATTGGTCATAGTGTTTTCTGCAACTTAATACTAAAGTCCACTCTCTAAGTGGAAAAATGTGGATTTTAATTATTAAGGGAAAATATATATCTTAAGAAAAGGGGAGAATCAAAGATCTATTTTTCATGGGTTGTCATGTTAAAGATTGCTCAATTGAATTGCCTTTGTTAATTGTTTTTGCTTCTGGAGTTAAGCTACAGCATCTTTATATAAAAGACCTAGGGGCCTGGATTTCAAAATGTCTTCCCCAGTCATATTGTAAGCTCTTGGATGTAAAAGCAAAAGTATTCTCAACTGAGTCAACATATTTTTGACTTTCAGCTAGAATGTGTGGTGTTTGAATTAGGGTAGTATAGTAGATACCACACTACGATTGTGTAGTCTTTCCTACTTCCATGCCATGTTAAATGAAGTTTAATTTCATCTCTTTTATTAGGTTGATGTCATGTATGAAGAAGAGCCTTTGAAGGACTACTACACACTAATGGACATAGCATACATTTACACTTGGAGAAGGGTAAATACATCAAGANGTTTTAGTAACACTTCTGAGTTGCCTCCTATGTGCCACACTGCTTGACGAATTGCTCGACCCCATTTTCTACTTTTTGGCTAAGGTGTCCTCGATTGACTGCATCTTAGTTTGAACAAAATAGACACAAAGTTTTACCATGATGATGGTGGTGATGAGAGGGATTCCAATTATGTACTAAAGGTTGGGAAGGAGAAGTATATCCTTTGTTCATATCCTGAATGTTCTGGAACCAGTGGGCGAGGCTAGGCTTGGGGGCTCCTGTTTTTCTTGCCAACACCCAGCTCTAAGGCCAAGGTTATCAAATCTTTCTTTCCTCTTCTGCTCCAGACTTGTATATCTTTCGCTTTTCCACCCAAAGTATGATAACAATACCAATTCCCTCCATGTAGCACTGGCATCTTTCCTTCTGTTTTTTTTTTCCTTTCCTTCTCTTTTTCCACCCGGGGAAGAGGCACGTAGTAGAACAAGTGAAGTTTGGTAGTTGGCTTTGTTTTGAGGGATCCCATTTATACGCCCCGCCGCGTCTCCCGCCCCTTTGGGAACACTGAGACGGAATTCAGGACTCTTTCGGAAACGGCAGCACATTTTGCCTCGACTGCAGTGTGTTTGCGACTGCGGCTTAGCGTAACGTCCCTCCCGCCGTAATTTTTTTCCTTGCTGGGTGGCAGCGAGGTGCCTCGGGTGAGGATTTCCTTGGGTACTTGCTCTGCTTTTTTCTCTTCTCTTCCCACCTGTAGTCCAAGAGCCGCGGGTAGATTTGCAGCCCTCCCAGGACCTACGTCCGGGCAACCTTTGGCTGCCAGAGCGGGATACCCACGTGGGCCCGGAGTTGGGTGTGCTTAGGACACTGTTGGATCCGGACTCAGTCTGTTGCAAAGGCTGCTGCCCCTCTAAAGTCTCCACGAGCCCGAGAGGGGTCCAACTTTTTTTAAACTCTGTGCTTTAGTGATCCAAGAGTCAAGTTCAGATCCGTGCTGGCGGACAGGAGCTAAGAAGGGAGAAGAAGCAGCGGCTACTTTCTTGCCCGTGGGCGGAGGACCCGAGAGAAAACGAAAAGCCTGAGAGGAGCCTCTGGCTTTCGGCCTGGTGTCGACTCCAATGCTGGCTCTGGTCGTCCTTTGGGCCTCCTAGCGCAGCCCAGCTTTTGGCATCCCCCTCCCCTCAAGTGCACTGCTCGGAAGGAGAACTTTGGCCTCACCAGCAGCACCTGACCGGGGTCCTTCTCCCGGGTCCCACCCCTGGCTATGCCCCCGGGTCTTTTCCACAGCAGCACCCTGAGCCCAACCTTCTCCTCCTTTCCTTGCGCCCCCCCTTCCCAGCCTGGCCCCGCCCCCTGGTGCCTCCGTGTGGGGGAAGGATGCCAAGTAAATTTGTAAGTTGCTATAGCAACCCCCCTCGGTAGAACGGTTCTGAAGACATCTCGGTTTCGAGCCTTTTGTGTTGGCGGCAGCGGCGACGCACTAGCAGCAGAGCCCAATTCCGTGGCCCGACCTCCTCTTCTCCCACCTGTTCTGACCAGTCTCATCAATGCCCGCCAGCCCTTGTTCCGAGAAGCGGGGCCCAACCTTGACAGCAGCCAGCCAGCCCTCCCTTCCTTGCTTCTTCCTCTCCCTCGCCGCTTCAACCACGGCCACCGCACCCCCTTCCTCTTCCGGAAATGCCCAGGGCAAAGTCCGCGTCTGCACTAGGATCGCTTGCCCCGTTCTCCTCTCCGCAGCCCCGATCTGCGATTTTCCGGCAGTGCTATTGGGGAAGGGCAGCCTGTCCCAGGAGAGGTGCCCCGAAGAGCCGCCTCCGCCCGCCCCAGGCATCCCCTCTTCTGAGCACCTCTGCGCTGGGCTACAGGCAGGTGAGCACTGGGCAGAGCACCCGGGAAGGAGACTCCCTTTACTTCTTGCTTCTTTGCCCTAAGGCTCTGCGGCTCTTCACCACCTTTTTCTCGCCTGAACGGGATTGTTTCTTTTCTTTCAGGGGGAGGCCACTTTTAGCAGCGGGGAAGTGAAGGGATCGCATTGGACCCCACCTCCGCACTTTCCCCTAGGTGCTTAAAACGTTCCTCTTTGTCTTTTAGAGTTTCCTTGAATTGAGCCAAAATGCATCGCACCACCTGCATCAAAATTACCGAGCTCAACCCCCATCTCATGTGTGTGATCTGCGGAGGGTATNTACATTTACACTTGGAGAAGGGTAAATATATTGAGAGTCCTTCCAAGTCTTGGTCATGTTGGGCCAGAGGGGTGGGAAACAAAACTAAACACTCTAACAAGGGTTTCCTTTCTGACTTTCTTTGGCTCTTTGGCAGAACGGTCCCCTCCCTTTAAAGTACCGTGTGCGACAAACCTGCAAGAGAATGAAAATAGGGGGTCAGCAGCGAGATGGCTTGCATAACAGTGGGGACCTGGAAAGTGACTCTGGCAGTGAAAAAGCTGGCAGCCCCATGGGAGGCGCTCCTTCCACATCATCCTGCGTGCTCAGCCCCAGCACTCCGGTGCAATCTCCCCACCCCCAGTTCCCCCACATCTCTAGCACTATGAATGGAACCTGTGGCAGTCCCAGCAGTAACCACCATGCGTCCTTTACCAACAGAACCCCAAAAGTGTCAGTGAACAGTTGCTCTGTGACTTCTTCTGGCTGACCTGCATAAACTGTCCTTTCTGATTCTCAAGACTGGATGCCAAGGTTACAGGTTATTGCTCTTTTTCTGCCCTTTGGTCTCTATTGTGCCACACCATTAAGCTTTATAGTTGCAAATTCCACGAGTGTCTGCCTGATGGTTAATAAAAGTAATAATGATTGGATACTAAATGGGTGGACAAGATATGGACTTTGTTATATTAAACAACCACTGCAGCAAACGATTTCTTAAGGACCAGCAACATAAAAAAAATATCAGTCCAGATATTTTTGGAGTATTTTATTTTTTGCTTCCCATTATTGATCTGTTTCCTGATTTGGAGTCAGAAGTGTCTGTAAATGGATGGCTGTCACAAATGAAACCCAAATTTTGTAAATTCAGATTAATTTCCTAAATATCTTTCAGATTATGAACTGTGGTTCCCTGGTTTTGTGGACTCTCATTGAAAACAAGTGCTTTTTATCCCTTCTCCACCTTGAGATGCTGAGATGCATAAATGCCAGATTGAATATGCATAAAACAATGCATATATGTAGCCACACCACTGTGAATAACAATGCATTTGCTTTAGTAGCCATTTTGATTTGTAGTTTGCACCCACGACTTTTCTGTGCAACGTCTGAAGCCATTAAAAGACCAGAAGGGAAGGGGAAAGTTCTATGGAAGAAAAGAAGGAAGAGGGGCAGTCTAGGTTCAGATTTAAAGCGGGTATTGCCATTTATTTTACTGGCTGATTTAAAGAAAAAGGTATGCAAGAAAACAAGATAAGTTCTTGTGACATTGTGAGCTTGTGGAAACATGCCATATTGTTATATGACAAAACAGGAAGCAGTACTGTATGACATGAAGAAAAAAAAATGTTTCATGCAGTGTCGATGGTGGTTAAATAAATCCTGTTGGCTCAGCCCTCGCAGATGCTTCTTCAAGTGGGAGTAGGGGGAATCCTGCTGAAGGATCTACAAACCCTTGGCCTTGAAAGTGGGAGAGCTACCGTAGTTTCCATCTCCGCTAACCTGGAAGCAATTGACAATATCGAAATGATTTCATGGATCTTGTCTATTTCCCAGGATTTTTACATTTACTCAACATAATTATTTTTAATGCTGGGGAGGGAGGGCAAGGGAGGCCTTGGAGAAAATGGAGGAACATGGGAAGGACTTCATTTTATATGGGAAAGGATAGGGATATGTGGTTATTTTTCTCCCAGCAAAGGCACAAAAATGCATATAAGAAGCCATAAAGTATACTGGAACCTTTTTCATTTATTCTTTCTAAAGAAACCAGTAAATTGAGATGAAGGTTTTTTATCTACATTTAATACATATGTACAGTATGCATATGGTACAGTATTAACTTGGTTAAAGATTAACAGGCACATTGATATTTTCCAATGAGCTGCCTGAAAACCTTTCTGGAAAATAGTTTTCTGAAGAGAGCAGTTTTTTTGAGGTTGGGTGGGAAGGCTTGAAAATGTAAGTCTCTTGAAGAAACTTCAATACCTTTCAGTCTGCTTTGCTTTGGTCAAAATGAGTGTGGTGTGTATGCTCCTTCTTCACTCATAAGTTACACATTTGTGAGAGTGTTTGTCCTATATGCCTATTGTTTTATGTTTCTACAGGGATATTGTAGCTAAGTATTTCATTGTATCATGTGCAAAAAAAGAAAAAAAGCACAATTTATGCTTTGTCTTGCTTACAGTCATTAAATAATTACTTTTACATGTACCTGCTGCCTTCTTTCCATGTAAATATTTAGATTCTCCCCCCCCCCTGCTAAAAATTATCTAGATTATCTATTGGAATTTCAGAGGAAGGTTCTGGTTAACTAAACTCAGTTTATTCTTAAGTAAAGAACATATTTATTTTCAGAGAAGACCAGGTGAAAGCAAAGCAGTTGATTGTGGATCATCACTATATTGCTGGAGTCAACTGGATTCAGTTCCTTAAGTACAACATCTATTCTGAAGTTAGGTCAAAAAATTTAATGTGGCCTAGCCCAAGATAAGTGGACAGTGGGTGATACATGTACTGTAGTCACTTCCATACCAAGAAATCATCCCAGGTGATTGAGATATATGAAAACCAAATAGAAATGGATTGAACACAGAAAATAAAATGCTTAAGTTTTCCCCATATATCTGAGTAATATCTACATATAGTTGTATAAACTACTGAAACCCTCTCCAAATTTTGGTTTGTCAGAGACAACAAGTCTCTTTCCCCAACTGTATTACTTCTGGGACATTATCAATTATTTTAAGGAAGAAATGATAAAAAGATTACATATAAATGAGACTGAACTATGGGTCTTTTCAGTGTCCTCCTTACTATTAAAATGAAATGATGCACACAGAACCAAATACTGAATCCCAAACTAAAGTGCATATAAAGCATGTTTTTTTTTCAAATGGGTCCAGCTCAATGTCAAGCCTTGCCATTAAAGAAAAACCCATGGGTGATAGTAATATTTAAAATTTCTTTGTAAAATATAAATACAACAAACTGCATTGGTCAAAAGTGGATCCCATTTCAATTAGATTTGTCACATGCATTTAGTATTGCAATTTTAAAGTGTACTCTTGCTGACAAGTTAATGCTGCTGATCGTGTCCTTGTCTATATACCCATATACAGCCTATAATCATAGGCTGTGTAATAAGTTACAATTGACAAGATTTGTGCAATAAGTCAAGCTATAAATGATTTAGAAACCACAATGATTTGGCTGACATTGCATTAAGTAGAACCAGTCAAACCTCATGGCTTAGATTTTGAACCCAGACTTGGAGACCAGGGAAGACAAACCATTTAAGGCTTTCAGTCTTACAAATTTCTACCCCAGAACTGATTGATTATTGCAGTAATTAGCCTAATCCATTCAGGTAGATAAAAATTACATTGATCTCAAGAATATAATCATTACTAATGCTGAACTTTATTTTTTTCTGCAAATAAACAATCACAATATTCATTCCAACCTTCTCAGCTTTACAGAGGTTTTTCAAGAATTTTAACTTGCACACACATTCACAAAGGTATTTCCAGTAAAACCTGCAATGCCGATTCATCCTCATGTAATCAACATTGGAAAACTACCCTAATCCTATGAATACTTGGCAGAAAGTAACTAGTGGTGTCCAGTCCCAGCAAGGTAACACAAGATCTAATAAACTTAGGTTCAACTGTCATGAAAAACAACCAGCACAAACTGGATACCTGGGAAATAAAGGCAGTTGCATTCTCCATCCTCTCACATTTGAATCTGACTTGCTCACCACTATAGCTCAAGTGAGTTAAGTTCTTACGCTATAGAAATCTTTGCACCAGTTCTATGTCACTTAAAGTCAGCAGGTGCTCGCAATAACTGGTTGTCAGAATCAAACAGTGAAAGGCCATCAATCAGAGTTCCAGAGAAGAAAATGGGTGCTTTTGTACATGCGCAAAGTGCTTTTCCCAGCCAGAACCACTGACAAACCTGTGAGATGTTTTTTTTAAAAGATCTTTAGCAGAAAGTTACAGGTCTAAAACCCTGCAAATGATCTTGTCATCAGGTTCACCTTGTCAGTCTCCAGAGTATTCTTTCATCTTAGTTCTGTGTCTGTAAAATGGAAACTGCAGATTGTTGAGAGAGCTGTGAAGGTGGGGGACATTTACACTGCAACTGCTACAACTATAAGAAAGGGGGGGGGGAATCAAATTTTGGTGGTAAATGAATGGTATATTGAAATTCTTAGGACTAGGATTCCTTGGCTAGGGAATCCATCACTTTATTAATTAAGTCTTATCTGTAAGATTTCAACAGCGTGGGTTGGTATCTTATTTTCTTGCATTCCCCCCCAGCCTCCACCTGAGCCTGCCAAGCTGTCCATCTTTCTGGGAAGGTCATGCTGTAATCTTGGAGGTGTGACACATGCAGAAGGTTGGAGCTGCTTTCCTCCTGTGAAGCCTTTTGGTTGATAAATCAAAATATTTTTTCTCTAGAAAGTATGCCTTTATTCTATGGCTTCTTTCCTTCTGCTTCATTTTGTGTCTTGATTTTATTTTATCTGACTTTAAAGTTGGCACTGAGATAATTTTTTTCATCAGAATTAAAACCTGATTGTCCCACAGACCCAAGAGACCCCTTGTCTCTGATCTATACTCCCCAGCGCAATTCAACAAAGTTAAGCGTGATCGCATTCGGCTGACAAAAATGCCAGAGAGACAGAATAATGTGTGAAAGGAAAAGGGAGTGGAAAAAAGAAGAGGCATCTAGCACAAGGAAAGTGACAGAACAAGAAAACAAGAGGACATGAAAGAGAAAACCGAACAAAGGACAAAGGAGAATAGGAGTGGAAAAAAGAAAAGAATTTGACTGTGGGACTCATATGCATCCCTCATAAAAACACACTAAACGTCAAACTAAATGTAAGACCATGTCCCTGGGTTTATGCTCTGAGTGCCCTGCCAAGCCAGAAACTGGACTAATCGGTTAAACCATGTTTCAGCTAAAAGGCAACCTCCGATTTGGATAGGAATTATTCTCCAAGTGAATATACAGCAAGCACCTTCATACATGGGCCATGCAATGAAGACAACCTTTGCCCCATGGGCCGCAGAAGTTTGGGGTCCCCCTTTTTTTGGCAACCTGAAACCATCACGGTTATAAACACCTTCCGGAATAGAGAGCACATTGTTTAGTTTCACGGACACACAACATTCTCTTAGCCTGTGTCCTCAGGACACACTGAATCCAAGACTGCCATGCTTGTTTGAACTCAGCCCAGACGGTTAATGTATGGTTCGTTTTTCAAATTTGCACAATTAGCTAGGTTGAGCAATCATAATTCAACGTGTTGTGGGAATTGGCTCAGTGGGGCAGTCGAATCAGGCCATCACCTTCATCCATCAGACGGTTGATTCCTTTGCTCATGGTTCCTTAATGAAAGCAGGAATCATGCCTCAATTAGCCATTGTAGGTACTGGGTAAACCCAGCTCGCCCACCAGGCAGCGTGTCCTGGAAAGCCACCATGCTGAGTTAATTCCTGGCTCTGTTCATCCTGGGTAGGCAGCTGCTGCGGGGGGGCCCACAGTCCCTCTCGCTGGACAGATGGGCTGGAGGGTTGAGGAAAGAAGGAGCAAATTGTTATGTTTTCCTGACAGTTAGAATTAATCAGTGGAACAACTTGCATCCAGAAGTTGTGAATGCTCCAGCACTGGAAGTTTTAAAGAAGAGATTGGACAACCATTTCTCTGAAATGGTATAAAGGTGAAACTCAAAAAATTAGAATATCAAGCAAAAGTTCATTTATTTCAGTAATGCAACTTAAAAGGTGAAACTAATATATGAGATAGACTCATTACATGCAAAGCAAGATAGTTCAAGCCATGATTTGTCATAATTGTGATGATTATGGCGTACAGCTCATGAAAACCCCAAATCCATAATCTCAGAAAATTAGAATATTACATGCAATCAATAAAACAAGGATTGTACATAGAACAATATCGGACCTCTGAAAAGTATAAGCACGCATATGTACTCAGTACTTGGTTTGGGCCCCTTTTGCAGCAATTACTGCCTCAATGCGGCGTGGCATGGAAGCTATCAGCCTGTGGCACTGCTGAGGTGTTATGGAAGACCAGGATGCTTCAATAGCGGCCTTCAGCTCTTCTGCATTGTTGGGTCTCACGTCTCTCATCTTTCTCTTGGCAATGCCCCATAGATTCTCTATGGGGTTCAGGTCAAGTGAGTTTGCTGGCCAATCAAGCACAGTAATCCCACGGTCATTGAACCAGGTTTTGGTGCTTTGGGCAGGTGCCAAGTCCTGCTGGAAAATGAAGTCAGCATCCCCATAAAGCTCGTCTGCGGAAGGAAGCATGAAGTGCTCCAAAATCTCCTGGTAGACGGCTGCGTTGACCCTGGACTTAATGAAGCACAGTGGACCAACACCAGCAGATGACATGGCTCCCCAAATCAACACAGACTGTGGAAACTTCACACTGGACTTCAAGCATCTTGCAGTGTGTGCCTCTCCATTCTTCCTCCATACTCTGGGTCCTTGGTTTCCAAATGAGATGCAAAAGTTGCTCTCATCAGAAAAGAGGACTTTGGACCACTGAGCAATAGGACTTTGAACCACTGTGCTTCATTAAGTCCAGGGTCAATGCAGCTGTCTACCAGGAGATTTTTGAGCACTTCATGCTTCCTTCCGCAGACAAGTTTTATGGGGATGCTGACTTCATTTTCCTGCTGCCCACACTGCCAAAAGCACCAAAACTTGGTTCAATAACTGTTGGATTACTGTGCTTGATTGGCCAGCAAACTCGCCTGCCCAGGGTTTCCTGCCTGAGCAGGGGGTTGAACTAGAAGACCGCCAAGGTCCCTTCCAACTCTGTTATTCTGAGACCCGGGACTGGAGAGGGAGTGGGTTGCAGAAGCAACTCGTGGGACTGCGGAGGAGTTCCCAAGCCTTACTTTCAGGTGGATCAGGAGCACCAAGTCTGGAAGTGATCGCTGGCGCCCGGCTGGCTTCTTTTCGCAGGAACGGCAGAGCTCCCTCTCCAGCGGGACTCCCAAGCCCCTCCCCCACCCCCGACTTCGCTTCGCGTAGTCCGTCACAAAACGCCCGCGGAGCCATCTTGCGCCTGCGCATTGCATCACCACCGCCCGGATGGTCGACCCTCTCGGAGGCCTCCTGCTGTCGAACGGAAAAGTGGCCGGTGGGGTAGGCCAAACAGAGAAA